AGACGGAGCAGTAATCTTACTTCCCATAAAACGATCCACACCGGGGAGAAGCCATATAAATGCATAGAGTGTGGAAAGGGCTTCAGAATGCATGGGGATCTTATAACCCATAAAAGGATCCACACAGGGGAGAGGCCTTACAAATGCATGGAATGTGGAAAGACCTTTACTTATAAAAGTCAACTTGCTTCCCATAAAGCGATCCATACAGGAGAGAGGCCTTACAAATGCATGGAATGTGGAAAGTGTTTTAATCATAGCAGTCAACTTGCTTCCCATAAAAGAATCCACACAGGAGAGAAACCATATAAATGCATGGAGTGTGGAAAGGGCTTCAGCCAACACAGTCTTCTTACATCCCATAAAAGAATCCACACAGGAGAGAAGCCATATAAATGCATGGAGTGTGGAAAAAGCTTCAGCCAACATGGTACTCTTACTACCCATAAAAGAATCCACACAAGGGAGAAGCCATTTAAATGCGTGGAGTGTGGAAAAGGCTTCAGTGGACTCGGTGTTCTTAAAGCTCATAAAAGAATCCACACAGGAGAGAAACCATATAAATGCATAGAGTGTGGAAAGGGCTTCAGAATACATGGGGATCTTATAACCCATAAAAGGATCCACACAGGAGAGAAGCCATATAAATGCGTGGAGTGTGGAAAGGGGTTCCGTATCAGTTCATCCTTTCTGAAACATAAGAAGATTCATACAGGGGATAAACCATATAAGTGCATGGAGTGTGGAAAGGGCTTCAGCCAACATGGTAATCTTACTTCCCATAAAAGAATCCACACGGAGAAGCCGTTTAAATGCATGGAGTGTGGAAAAGGCTTCAGTGGACTCGGTGTTCTTAAAACTCATAAAAGAATCCACACAGGAGAGAAACCATATAAATGCGTGGAGTGTGGAAAAGGCTTCAGTGGACTCAGTGTTCTTAAAGCTCATAAAAGAATCCACACAGGAGAGAAACCATATAAATGCATAGAGTGTGGAAAGGGCTTCAGCCAACACAGTCTTCTTACATCCCATAAAAGGATCCACACAGGGGAGAAGCCATATAAATGCGTGGAGTGTGGAAAGGAGTTCCATATCAGTTCATCCCTTCTGAAACATAAGAAGATTCATACAGGGGATAAACCATATAAATGCATGGAGTGTGGAAAAGGCTTCAGCCAACATGGTAATCTTACTTCCCATAAAAGAATCCACACAGGGGAGAAGCCGTTTAAATGCATCGAGTGTGGAAAAGGCTTCAGTGGACTCGGTGTTCTTAAAGCTCATAAAAGAATCCACACAGGAGAGAAACCATATAAATGCATGGAGTGTGGAAAAGGCTTCAGCCAACATGGTAATCTTACTTCCCATAAAAGAATCCACACAAGGGAGAATCCATTTAAATGCATGGAATGTGGAAAGGGCTTTAGTGATAATGCATCCCTTTTGAGACATAAAAGGATCCACACCAGAGAGAAACTATACAAAGGCATGGAGTGTGGAAAGGGCTTCCTCATAAACAGTAAACTTACTACTCATAAAAGGATCCACACGGGGGAAGCCATATAAATGCATGGATTGTGGAAAGGGCTTCAACAAACTCCGTGGTCTTACTTCCCATAGAAGGATCCACACGGTAGAAGCCATATAAATGCACAGAGTGTAGAAAGTCTTTTAGTCAGAGCCATCATCTTACTCGCCATAAAAGGATCCGCACAAGGGAGAAGCCAATATAAATGCATGGATTTTGGAGAGAGCTTTAGGAGGAGCAATGACCTAATTTCCCATACAGAGATACACTTGTGTGGGAACGTATGTAAATTCTAGAACAGACATGTCAAACACAAGGCCCGGGGGCCGGATGCGGCCCGCAAAGTGGTTTCATGTGGCCCACGAAGCCATCCTGGAAACAGTGAGGGAACACCCCCTTCTGCCTTGGTCCTGGCCCAGGCCAGCCAGGAGCCAATGTATAATTTTGTGGTGGCCATCTATGCTGAAACGCATTCAGTCTTACCTCCACAAGGCCTTCTGGAAACAGCGAGGAACCAGCACCTGCCGCCTCAGCCCTGCCCCCTGGGTGCATGCTGGGGAGGCGTCACCCTTTGTGAGGAATGAAGAAATGCACCATCGCCTGGAAGTGGCCAGCAAAAGGCCCTCGCCTAATTCACCTATCCGGCTTGATGGGCTCCAGAGGAAGGGTTTCGGCAGGCAGCGGGGCACTCTCCTCACAGCGCCAAGAGGCTGAGCCGGGCAGCGTGAATCCAAAAAGAAGCACGATGCCACCCAGGCCCCAGCCGGCCCGGTTTCGGCAGGCAGCAGGGCGCTTTCCTCACAGTGCTGAGAGGCTGAGCTGGGCGGTGCAAATCCAAAAAGAAGTGCGAGGCCGCCCAGCTCCCAGTCTGCCCAATTTCAGCAGGCAGCAAGGTGCAAAGCTGATGAGCTTTGCACCGCCCG